ATATCTACGCTCTGACCCCATCTTGAATGGAAAACAACACACAAATAGTCTTTAAAAGGTTTGATTGTGCATAATATAGGAGCTAAGAGGCCAGAGCCCGTTCTCTCTTTTATGCAGATGAGATCAGGGAACAGAGGAGAGGACTCGGGGAGGGAACTGACACTATGATAAAGCGGCCCCACAGGAGGATTTATTCACTTCCAAAAGCCCAAACTGACCCATCTGCTGCCATCAGGAGAAAGCATTGAGCCACGCGATCTCTGAACATCTTCCAGCAGCAGCGTTTCCCCTTTCTGTGGAAAGCTCCGTGTGTGTTTCGCTGACTTGTGCTCAGCAGCCCTCCCGCCTCCAGTTTGTATTAACACCACGTAACACCAAAACATCTCCCGTTAAAACTCTTATTTAGAAATTGCTCTTTACAGAGAAGAAATTTGTAGGCCTATTTCCCCCTTAGACTAAATAAAGAGCATGCATCACAAACTGTTTTAAGATCCCAAATCACTGACATCATCAGTGAGAAGGAACAATCTAGACATTTCATCTTACTATTGAAGCCTGGGGTTTTTAAACCATCTTAAACACATCTATCATAAAGCCACACAAACTCAGCTTTTCCCGAGCGGTGAATACCTCGAAGAGAAGGATGAACCAGAAGTGGGCAAGCAGCTGCCGAGAGAGCGTTGTGTTGTCTAGAAATTTTTCCATGTATCTGGGGCTTGAAATGCTTGGACTTTGCAGCAGGGATCTCAGGCAGAAGCATGGCTGCAGCGTTCAACAAAATGCAACTCTGTTTGCAAAACAACCAAGCTTATCATACTGCAGCCCTCTAAAAGCCAGGCAGTTATCACCATCACTAGGTTGTTACAGAGTTGAAAACTCACGTTTGCTTTTATGCATAGTGAGGAACAGGAAAAACTGAGTTTAAATACTTTTAATCCACACACTTTAATCTACAGAGAAATACAGTACAAATAACAAGACAACAAAAAGATGCATTAGGAAATTCAGTAACAGAGTCAGTGCTGTGAAAAATCTGTATTTACAAACTTCTATGAAGAACACGGAACAGATGTTTCTCAAAAGAGCCTTCTGGGAGCGTAAGTCACAAGAGAGAGGCCATCATACAACCCACTGAAGACAAACGTTTTTTTCAGTGTCACTTGTGTTAACGTGGAGTACCACCACAGAACCCGGTGGAGTTCTGTGACTTCACTCAAGTTGCAGCTTCTTACGGACAGAACCTGGCCCAAGTGCTCAAACAGTACACATCACCCACACGTAACGATTTGAGCAATCATCACCATTACAGGGGACAATGGTATTATCACCCGCTTCACAAACAGTCGATGAAGCCAATGAGGGCGCAAAGAAAGCAGAGGCTTTTATGGTATGTTCCACAATCACACTCAGTGTGCCTACGCAGCCAATAAAGAACACACTTCCCAGCTTTTGTGACTAAGAGTTTTACAGTAATACCTCCTTATCCTCTCATTTCAGCCTGCCTTCTTTTAAAAAACAAAGGCAAAACAACTTGGGATTTGAAAGCATCACTTGATGTCAAGGAAAAAAAATTAACAAATTTTGACTTTAAACATTTATATCTGAGGTTCAATATTGTGTTGGCTGGTTATTTCTTTGCAAGTAAGATCTCATGTACCTTACAGCTGTGAGCATTCAGGTTTGCTCTGAGTTTTTATTTTCTGAGAAGAGGCGCGGGAATAGTGCAGATGACTTTTGCTTATGTTTGGGCACTAAATAATACGTATCTCAAACGGCACCATAAGGAAACAACCGTTCTGTCAAATCATTCCTTCCTTACTGTTCTGTGGGAAAACCAAAAAGATACTGAATCCCAAATGTCACCTTTCTTGGCTGAAAAAATCCGAAGATGTTATAAATTCTACTTTTTGACCTATTACTTGCATTTTAAGCTCATCTTTTACCTATTTAGTGCAACCTCAGAATATATGCATAAACACATTCAATACAAATCCCAAATCACAGCATTGCCAAGCTATATAACTTTTTTTTTTTAAATTGTTAACATGCTGGTATTTTCTTGTAAGTAGTTAGTACTAATTTAAAGTTACAGCTCTTAACAGTAACATTTTTACAGTATTCTGATCACTAATTACTAAATAGAAATAACTACTGTACATACTGAAGTTACAAGCTACAAAAATAAAAATCCTTTCTGTTTAACTATAAAAATCCTAGAAAGAGAAGATGGCTGGAGGTACTCTAAGGATTACAACAGTTGGTAGCAGACAAAATGGCTTTTGAGGGATGTAAACTCTGAAGATACAGAATGCAATAAACTCACAATGTAAGTTCCTACTTGCTCTTAAAAAGAAAATTATTTTTATGCTCAAATCTACAAACAAGTTGCAAATGAAACAATGCAACAAATGAATTACATACAGCAATAAGAGTATATCGCACAGTAAACAGGGCGGTATTAACGACAAACAAGACTTTGAATACATTCATACTTTTGAACAGTTAAGGGCCAGATCCTCAGCTAATGTAAATCAGCATAACATCACTAGGTCGAGTCAAGGCATGTGGCTTTACTCCAGCTAGAAGTCTCTCCCTGAGATGCCCAAAACCTGAACTGGGT